CTGCATAGAGAGGACTGTTAGTTCATAGACAGGATTGTTATATAATAGAAAGGATTGTGACTTCAGAGAGAGAATTGTTACCTCATAGACTGGACTGTGAGTTCAAAAACTGTATTGTTACTTCATAGATAGGTTTGTTTCCACAAAAACTGTTGTGACTTCATATTCAGGATTGTTACATCTCTTAAGATTGTTTTTTCATAGACTGTATTGTTATTACATATACAGGATTGCGACGTCACAGACAGGTTTGTTACTTCATAGACAGAATTGTTACCTCAAAGCCCCTTACTCACCAGTGAGAGACGAGACTGCCCAGTACTCAGCCTTCATCTCTTGGGCCACCTTGAGTGCGTCTCGCTCCATTAGCACATACTGAGCGGGAGTCTGAAGGAAAGTCAGTCAGATGCGGAGGGTTCCCTCACCACGTTGGGAAGGTCCCCCTCTGGCACACTTACACTCAGGTCCTTCTTGGAACCCACAAGGAAGAGAAGCACGCTGGAAGGGTCGTTCTCCTTGAGGGCATCAGCTAGCCACTGCCTGCCACAGACGGTGGACAGCAAGAGATGAGGTGGGCAGGCTCCTGCCACTGACACTCATCTGCTCAATTGTCCTCTGCTCCTAGATGCGTTCTTTCCTTCCCTACCATGCCCCTGACCACCCCTCTTTTCTTCTCTCGGAACCCTCTCTTCCCAGAGCCCTCGTGTATGTAGCACCCCCACATACTTGGTATGTTCCAGGGAGGCCACATCATTCAGGTTGAAGACAATGATGATGGCTGCAAGAGTGGCAGAAACAGTCCCAGATTGGTAAGGAGACGCGACTGGCTCATTTCCACAGCCCTCGGTTAGAAGCAGCCTCCCCCTCCCCACTTCACCCAGCCCCTTACCTTGAGCTCCTCGGTAGTAGGTTGATGCAATGCATTTGAATCTCTCCTGTCCAGCGGTATCCCAGCTAGGAGGGAGGAGGGGTGACACAGAGGTATGGGGGGGAGGGGCATAGGAGGGGTGTAGGTGCCAGAGGAAGAAACGGCTGGAAGAGGGAGAGCGGAAGGACTCACAGCTGCAGACTGAAGGGGATGCCCAACACCTCAAATCGTTCCATCTCAAAGTCCACTCCAATGGTGGCCTTGTAATTCTTATCAAAGGTGTCTTTGCAGAACCTGAGGGGGCACCAGAGGCTCTGGCCCTTAGCCCAGCCCCTCTGGCTAGGCCTGGCCCTACCCTGCCCAGCCCAACCCAGTTCAGCTCCAGCACCTTCTTACCTATTAATGAGACAAGTCTTCCCCACCGACAGGTCCCCCACCACAATGACCTTGGAGATCTTAAATCTGCTGGACACAACAGGAGGCAAGAGGAGTGGGCATTAGTTCTTTCACTCTAGGGAGTCCCAATTCAACCTAAGAGGTCTACAAAGGTAGTCGCACCCAGGCTGCAGTTGCCATAGACACCGGTAGACACCAGGCCACCTAGGCAGCTTTCTGGACAGATGTACCCGCTAGGAGTGTTTTGTGCTTTAGTATCAAAAAGACATAAATTTGAATCCCAGCTCTCACACTTTACTAGCGGTGTGACTTAAGACAAACTACTTGGTCTCTCTGTCTCAGTTTCAAGATTTAAGTGGAGATTTAGAATATATTTTCTTTGGGTAGTGAACACATGGTGGCAATACACAGATTTTGTAACATAGAAACCCACACCTAAAACCTATATGTTCCTGTTGACTCATATCACCCCAATAACTTTAATAAAATAAAAAAATAATATCTTTTATTGGGTTTTTGTGAAGGTTAAAATGAGATAAATGTTCTATATTCTGAAACATACCTCCCCCCCCACACACACACATAGACTTTAATACCTCTGAAATCAGGGTACATCTTTAAAAGTGATGGTGTTTTCCATTTAATAAAAGTAACAGTATCCAACACACTTCCTGGCACACAGTAGCTGCTACATTCATAGTGGCAACTGTTATTAGTATTCCCTTAGGTATAGGCACACACACCCCATCCCCTCCTGGACCCTGGGGCTCAAAGGGGTGGTATGTGGAAGCTGAGCCGAGGACCACCCCCGTCTCTGTCAGGAATTGAACTGCCACCCCACAACCTCGCTGGAAACGAAGGGGTAGATGCGAGGACATCAAAAGAGGGAATAACCATCTGGCTGGTAGGGGGTGCCATGGAGCCCCCTTCCTTTGGCTACAAAGTTTCCTGGGACTTCCTGTCTTCATGTTGGGGTCTCCAACTCACCCCACGGTGCCGGTCCGGTGCTCCTGGCAGGCGCAGGTGACCCGGGGGTGGAAGTCTCTGCGCACGTGCAAGGCGGCCTCCTTCCTCAGGTGCTGCCGCGGGTGGAGCAGGAGACTCACCATCCTGGCCCCCGTCCCACAGCCAAGCAGCCCGGGGCCAGGGGTGGGGAGGGGACCACCCAGAAGCAGCAGCCCGGCCGGGCGGCAGGGCAGGGCCGCGGGGCGGGTGCAGAGGCGGAGCTGGGTGCCCCCCTCGGAGAGAGACGTCCGAAGCGTGGCGTCGTTTCCTCGAAGGCTCCGGGGTGGATTGAGGGGTGAGGAAGCCGAAGACCAAGCCGCCCCCCTTGAAGGAGGATAAAGGAGGGCTCGACGGGCCGGGAACTCCGCCCTTTGGGGAGGTCACTGCTCCGGAACCTGAGGACGCCCCTCGGGTAGGGGCGTTCTTCAAACTGGCCCCTTTGGAAGCGCCCCAAGAACAACTTTTGCATTTTGCAGTCGTGGGAGACAGAACCGGGTACCGCACCCCAAATCTCACCGTCACTGGGGAAAGCAGGTTCCCAGAGGCCAGAGAGACGATAGAAAGGGAGGGGTGAAGGCAGGAGGACGCCGACCCTCCGGGAGGCAAACTGCAGCTCTGCTCAGCTTTGCTGTGTGTCCGGAACTGAATCTGAGGAGACAACGATGGACGGCTGGGGCACGAAAGGGAAGACTACCGAAAGGGAGGAATTGTGAACGGAGTTATTCACAAGGAGAATTAGCGAATGCTGAAGTCTGTGCGCTGGGTGTTTGGAATATTGCTAGAATTTCCTCCAGAGTCTTGTCAGGGAAACACATGAAATCAGACTGCCACGGGTAAAGAGGGGAGATGTTGCCACCTTCTACCTCGTCTGGTACTTTTTTTCCTCCCCTCTGCGTGACTCGATTTTTATTTTTCCCCCCAAAATCACCATTATTGATACGCCACGTATCCCCTCGGGATCTCAATTTACACAAATGTTTGAAGGAGTTGGGCCTGACAAATTCTGCTCTAACGTTCTAGAACTTTGCTTCACTCTCCCTGAGCTAATCGAATTATATTCGTTACAGTTTGCAGTGCTGCTGTCTCCTGGAACTTGCAATGCTTTTCCCTGAAGTTGCTGAAGATGGGAAGCGCTCAGGACCAGACCCGAGTGGCTGTCCGCTAACCATCCAACCGCCACAGCAGACAAATAAACTACAACCCCCAAGAAGCTTAGTTCTTACGAGGGACGGGGTGGCGCATGCTTAGTCGCTCTTAAGGAAATGAAGCCTAACTACTATTCCCAGCGGGCGCCGCGCTACAGATCACCCAATCCGCTTTAAGTAGAAAACATCGCGAGGTTTCGGTGAGACTTGGCTCTATAAGCCCAGGGGAACGGGTCTCGGAAACCCTTTTTACGAAGATGGCGCCGAAAGCTAAGAAGGAAGGTGTGTGGTAGGGTTTGGGAGGAACACTGCTGGTTGGGCGGCCTGGGATCCCCGCAGAGTAAACAAACTGAAAGGACGGTGGCTGGGCTAAGATTTGGGGTGTCAGCTCCGGAGCTGCTCTTCCCGTTTCGTTTCGGCCACGCTGCGGCGCGCGTGGGCCCAGCCACATGGGCTTGGGCTCCGGCTGAAGGGGGTTGGGGAGGGAACCCGCAGCCACATAGCCGACTGCGGGGAGCTACACGCATCCACAGGCCGCCGCTCCGTGTCTCCAGACCTGTAAGGAATCAGTGCCCTCAACTTAACTTACTTTAGTTTTTTTAACTTCATTATATTCGGCTATATACCCTCCCGGGGTGGCTGTGAGATGTTATAAAACTGCTAGCACAACGTTCTGGCAAGTGTCAGACGTTCGATTATTGCTAGTTTTTTTTGTGTTTTTTTTTTTTCCTTTGTGATATCCCTGGAGTTGCTCCAAGTTTGCCCCAATAACTGTGCATATGATGGAAAAACTTTTAAGCTGAGACTTGTGATGTCTCCAAAGGAACCACTGATGCACATGTAAGCTGGTGCGCCCACTACCGTTCATTAGGCCGGAAGTGGTGACTTCTGAATCGCTCATTCTCTTTCCTTTTCTCAGCCCCTGCCCCTCCCAAAGCCGAAGCCAAAGCAAAGGCTTTGAAGGCAAAGAAAGCAGTGTTGAAAGGCGTCCACAGCCACAAAAAAAAGAAGATCCGCACGTCACCCACTTTCCAATGGCCAAAGACACTAAGGCTCCGGAGGCAGCCTAAATACCCTCGGAGGAGTGCACCCAGGAGAAACAA